TGACAGGCCAAGGATGCGGGGCACATGACCAGCAGTGGGGCTCACCCCCTTTCTCCCCACAGGTGCCCCCTGTCTGAGTTTTGACGTGGTGCCCGACCCGCCAGGCCAAGAACTTGGCCACTTCCCGCTCAGCCTGCGGCTCTGCGCTGGCACCCAGGCTGAGAGCTCCCAGGCCAACAGGTCAGACTCGAGGGGCCGCCGTGGGGCAGAGACGCAGCCTCCTGCCCTGCTTCTCCCCAGACACGGAGAAACCCCTGTGTGCTCCCCAGGTCGGGCACCGCAAGACACCCCCGGGCGCGCCCTGGCTGCCCGGGCACTTGGGGGTGGGTGAGCGGCTGCCTGGGGTGAGGGTGAGTGGACGTAGCACGCCCAGCCCTGGCCCCAACTCGCCCCACAGGCCACCCGCAGCTGGTGCCCGGGGCAGACCCACCCCAGTCACAACTAGCAACAAACATCCCCGACCTCAGCCCCGCCCCAGGCTGGGAGCCGCCGCGACCCGCCCGCAAGTGGGGAGCAGAGCCCGGCGGGCGCTCGCCTCTGCCCCTGCCTGGGCACCAGCACCCCCCTGAGCACAGAGCCCTGGGCGGTCACCCACGTCGCCCCTGGTGTCCCCCAGAAACCTCCTGCCTGACCCAGAGGGGGGCTGGCTCCCTGTGGCCCTTCGCCTCTGTGCTGAGCCAGTCACAGGGTTCAGGCTGACGCCCCCTGGAGGCGACAGGCCCCGCACCCCATTCCCTGCCCCCTCCCCCGAGCCAGCCAGTCCCTGCCCTGGGGCCGGATGGGAGAGGCCCTGGGCCCCATTCCGCGGGGCGCAGGCGCCGCTGGGGCCCCTGACTGGGAGCAGGGCTCAGGGGGTCCCTCTCTCTGCCAGGCTGCTGGTGATGAAGATGCACAATCTGCACCGCACGGGGGCCGCGGGTGCCGAGAGCAGCGACAGCGACGAGGAGGAGGACGAGGAGGAGAAGAAGCCCGAGCTGGAGCTGGCCATGATTCCCCACTACGGGGGCATCAACCGCGTCCGGGTACGGGGCCCCCCCTACCGCTGAGCCCCCGCAGCACAGCGCCCCACACCGAGCCTCCCAGCACCGAACTCCCCGAGCAGACTCCCCCACCAAGCACCCCGTCAAGCCCCCCGCCGAACCCCCCCCGAGCAGAGTCCCCCACCGAGCTCCCCCAGCACAGCGCCCCTTGTTGAACCCCCCTGAGCAGAGTTCCCCCCTGAGCAGAGTTCCCCCCCCCACCACAGCACCCCCCGCCGAGCCCCCCCAGCACAGTGCCCCTCAGAGCAGCGTCCCCCGCTGAGCCCTCTCCCCCCCCAGTGCAGCATCATCTGCTCCCAGCAACACCGGCCCCCTAGCGCTGGCCTGGAGCATTGGGGCCAGTGCCCCCAAGTGAGCCTTCCCCCAGTGCAGCACCCCCTGCTCCTAGCAGCACGGTGCCCCCACCCCTGCGCTGGGGTTAACCCTTTCTTCCCGGCAGGTCACCCAGCTGGGCGGGACACAGGTGGCTGCCATCTGGTCAGAGAAGGGGCAGGTGGAGATCTACGACCTGCAGTGCCCCCTGGTAGCCATCTCGGACCCTCAGGCCATGGCCACCTTCCTGCGGGAGGAGCAGGCCAAAATCAAACCCCTCTTCTCCTTTGCCGGACACATGACCGAGGGCTTTGCCATGGACTGGTCCCCCATGGTGCCCGGTGAGCTGAGGGGCGCTGGGTGGCAGGGGGCTGCGGGTCGGGAGTGAGGGGCGCTGGCAGGGCCGGGGGTGACGGGGGCTGCGGGTCGGGAGTGAGGGGCGCTGGCAGGGCCGGGGTGAGATGGGGGCTGCGGGCCGGGAGGGGCGCTGGCAGGGCCGGGGTGACGGGGGCTGCGGGTCGGGAGTGAGGGGCACTGGTGGGGCAGCTCCCTGAGACCCTAGCTCTGCCCCCACCCCCAGGCCGTCTTGTGACCGGTGACTCAAACAAGAACATTCACCTGTGGAGCCCCAAGGCGGACGGGACGTGGCACGTGGACCAGCGCCCCTTCACCGCCCACACCGCCTCTGTGGAGGACCTGCAGTGGTCACCGACGGAAGCGACGGTGAGTGGCAGCCCTACCAGGAGAAACAGGATACTGGGGTAGATGGGCCTGTGGGGCTGATCCGGAGGGGCAGGGTGGGATACTGAGGTAGATGGACCCCTGGCAGGTGACCATGCTGCCCTGATCCCCTCTCGCCCAGGTGTTTGCCTCATGCTCGGCGGACGGGTCCATCCGGGTGTGGGACGTGCGGGCAGCACCGGGCCGGGCCTGCATGCTGACGGCCAGCCAGGCCCACGCCAGTCGACGTCAACGTCATCAGCTGGAACCGCCATGAGCCCTTCCTCCTCAGCGGGGGGGACGACGGAGCCCTGCGCGTCTGGGACCTGCGCCTCTTCCAGGTCAGTGCCCCCCACGGACTCCCCCTGACTGCCGGTGCCCCTCACTCCCGACCCGCAGCCCCTGCTAGCCCGGCCCTGGGCTCCAGCAGTTCTGCCGGAGCCCCTCACTCCTGACCCGCAGCCCCCGGTAGCCCGGCACTTCCCCCCCACCCCAGCCCTGCCAGTGCCCCTCACTCGCGACCC